CAAATTTGAAAAACAAATTAGTGCCATAGATAACAAATAGATAGCTTTGCTTTGAAATTCACTTTAGTTTAAATTCAGAGATAACGTCTTATTCTTTTCTCCCAAAGAGAATAAACGAGATTCGGATGATTCTTTTTGGGCTGCTTACTTTGTTGTTGATTTTTTTCAGGCACTGCGTGATTTGAAAAACTATTTTTGGCTTGCAATTCAATGATAGAGAAAACAAGACTGCTCGTATCAGGGCGAGGCCCTGAATATTCCGACTGCCTTTTGAAGTCTGTGGAACAGTAATAACATGAAAAACTAAATGTAACATTACGAGGCCAAACTGTGCACTGTGCACAATTTTGTGTCTGTATGTTCCTGGACTCCAGACACAAGTATTTAAACATGTTCCAAAATGTAAGTGGATTCCCCTTACAAGATTTACGTCGATTCCGCGTATATATATTTGTAACGTTCGGCACATTCATTTTGTTGCGGATTCTGCAACAAGGAAATATAGCACGTATTCTGGATTCCGCAACTGTAAGTGGATTCCGCCGCAAAATGTACGTGGAATCCGCAAATGTAAGCGGATTCCGCAAAATGTACGTGGAATCCGCAAATGTAAGCGGATTCCGCAAACTGTAAAGGATTTCAGAAAATTTTTTTATCACTGCACTTGCATATGCACTTGCGGAATCTAAAAGCAAGGACTTAACCATTGTCAGCGGAATCCACGAACAAATCTTTAAACATTGGTTAACTAAATCGATAGACGTCACACTTTTGTATTTGCCAGCAGTTTTTGGGATCATAGTTTTGTAGTCACAACACCGAATAAATTCATTGGGTGAATTCGGTAATTGGGTCAATTTTTTCGATAACGGGGATTCATTGTTGGGTTGACATATTGCCGAATTAGGTCAGTATTTGGGATTCAGTATTTGAGATTCAGTAATTGGTATTCAGTATTTGAGATTCAGTATTTGGGAGCGTGAATTCTTTTTATGGAGATAGTACTTAGGATGAGATCACAGAGTGAAACCATGAGTTAGCTATTCAAATCTTTCTGAATAGCTTACTTACAATTATTGAACAAATTTAGAGCTCTGAATGTCTTATTCTCAAGGAAATGTAGATTCCACTTACAATTTGCGGATTCCACTTACAGTTTGCGGATTCCACCTACAGTTTGCGGATTCCGCTTACAGTTGCGGATTCCGCAACAGCTCATTTCAACTTTACACATGTCTCTTTATTTGCTTGTGGATTCCAGAAATTGTGCTGGATTCCGCAAATACGGTTGCGGATTCCGCAATTTCGCCTATTTTTGGAGCGATTTTGAACATGAGTGTTTTGGGTATTTGTTTGTGGAATCCAAAACAGCAATGAAGATCAAAGAAATGTAGCAATGTTGCGGATTCCGCGAAAAATTTGATTTTGGCCTGTTGCGGAATCAGCATACAATGCACAGAATGCACAATTTGGCCTCGTAATGAAAAACATAATATTTTTTTTTAATTAAGATTTCTGCGAAAATCATCAACCCACACGCCATTTAAAGTACAAAGTGATAAGTTTCGGTTGAATTTATGATAACAAAGTGATAAGTTTCGCATCTAGTAACACATCAATTATGGCAAATAAGTTTCCTTCAACCAATTTGGAACGATTTCTAGTACGGATTTAATCACCGCTTTCCGTGTTAATAGCGCGAAATATATCGCGCGTTAATTGTCCCTAATTGGCCAAAATGGCAATCTTAAAACCCCAATAACTCTACGAAAAATGATCAGAGGTGAAATATCTTTTCTAATTTAAGCTCAAGACAACACTACCTTTCGATTGATATTTAAAAATCCTGTCAAAAATGGCTAGTTAAAAATTCGAATTTTGTCTGAAGAAACAAAAACCCACCCCGAGCACAAATATTCCGTTACTTTCGTTATATTAAAGTCGGAACAATAAATAGGAAGACGATTAATTGCTGTCTTAACTCAGAAAGTGTTCGCACGTTTTTTTGTTTCATGGCTTAGAATTTTGTTTTGTGGAGCAAGGCATTCGCAGATTCATTTTGAACTTTCGATTGAAACGTATTTTTTGAATATTCAAGTCCAATGGAACTTTTTGTTTCATTTTCCAGGGCCGTCAAAACATCTGCAAAAAAATTTGCGATTTTTTTGTTTAAAAAATTTGTTTTGAAGGTAGCGTTCATATGGCGGTCGTTTCAATTCTGTTCATAGTGGAGCCATTGGCGAAGGCAGAAGAATGAGTTACGGTTCTTCTGCAATAAATGAACGTCATAGCGCATAACTGAAAGGGTATACAGTTTATCAGCAATGAGGTTGATTTTGAGAACATATTTTCCTGAGTCAGTAGAATAATCAAGCTCGCATGAGTGATAGCTTATTGTTCCAATTTTTGTGACGTTATTTGTGCTCAGAGTGGTTTTTTTTTCTTCAGACAAGAATTTTGACTTTTTAACTAGCCTTTTTTGACGGAGCTTTTGTATTCCTGTCCTGGTATAGCTTAAATTTGAAAAAAAATATTTCATCAGTGATTTTTTTTCGTAAAGTTATTGGGGTTTAAAGATTGCCATTTTGGTCAATTTCGGACAATTAACGCGCGATAATTGAACTTCGCGCGTTTAAAGCGTAAGCGGAGATTTAATCAGTCCTATATGAAACAATATACATTGGAGAAAACATAAAACTTTTTTTTTGGGGGGAAAAAACCGCTAAATTGAATTTTCTAATGCAGAAATTCAGTTCGGTAAAAACTAATGTTTGGACACAAAAGGTTTTGATGGTAAAAGTTTTATTAAATTGTGCTTTAATTGTTCTATAATTGATTATAATTTGTTTCGCAAATGAGAGATTATACTCAATTATTATATGATTAATAAAGGATAGTATGATTAATAATATATTTTTTCTCACATTCGGAAAGACTGGTACTAAAATCATAAAATAATCGATTATCAATACTTGAAATTAGATGTGTGTTATCTCCTTTTAGAAAATATGCAAATGATAGAATCTTCAAACTCTGTTGCCACCTATTGCACTTCAGTCGGCGGGTGATAAGGGGGTGCGGGGGCACTGTTGTCGCATGTGTTCCAGGCTGCATTGAGTATTGTGCTGCGACCGCGTCTAGATAGTTCTGATTAGAGTTTGCAGCCTTATTTTGCCCGCCTGAAATTGTTTCCAAACTTGAAGTTTGTTTTCATGTTGAATGGTGTGTTTCAGTGTTTATGTGGGAAGCAATTGCAGTTTTTCTGCAATATTCATTACAAAACGTAGTAAAATATTGTGCAGATCTTGTACAATCTTCGCTAGATAAGCATATAATTTGCAAGTATCTTCTATCGAAACATCATTTGTCATAGAGTAGGCTTATTTTGACAACACTCCTTCCATTCAAAAAAAACCACATTCAAACTTATGAACACTTCAAGAATTGACCGTGCATGATCTTTAATTGTCTAGAAATCTTCGAAAACCTAGCAAAAAGGTTTTTGCCATGAAACTAAAAAAAACAGAAATTTTGGCATTTGAAAACAATTAGGCGATGGTTTTTTTTAATGAAGAATAATCGGCAATGTTTTTCCAATCACTTTAAATATACACTTATAAAAATTAGTTTCTAAGCAAAGAAACTCGAAAACAAAAATAATCAAATAAAATTAAGAAAAAACTATTGAAATAAAAAATCAGATTTCATTTTCAAACTTACGTCTTTTGCAGTATACGCATACGCCAATGCACAGGCCACAAATGCAACACACTCCTACGACACAAAGACTGCAGCAAAACAGAAAAGATCCGGCTACAAAGGCCAGAAACGCTGCCAAAATCCCAACTCTAAAACACACAAATCGATCTTATACGAACAATTCGTTTGTTATGGGACCGTATAAACTAGCATATGGATGAAATAGCATTAACTTTTGCTTTATTTACGTGTTATCGCGTGCTTTTCGTAATCAAATTTGCAATTCTGGAAGAACAGAACGTATCATGGTTCTGAAAGAACTTGATGAACAATTCGACATATACCATTTAGTGGCAGCTGCATGACTATTTATTGTTCCAACTTTTGTAACGAAAGTAACGGAATATTTAAGCTCGGGTTGATTTTTTTTCTTCAAACAAATTTTGACTTTTTAAATAGCCATTTTTTGGGAATATCTAAACATCATTCAAAAAGTATTATTGTCCTGAGCTTAAAATTGAAAAAAAATATATTTCACCTGTGATCAGTTTTCGAAAAGTTACGGGGGTTTAACGATTGCCATTTGGGCCAGATTGGGACAATTAACGCGCGCTGTTTTTGCGCTTTTAACGCGAAAGCGGAGATTTAATCAGTCTAGAAATCGTTCCAAGTTGGTTGAAGGAAGCTTAATTGCCATTGGTGATCTGTAAATAGGAGCAAAATCTATCACTTTGTACTTTACATGGCGTGTGGAGGGAGGATTTTCACAAAAAGCTCAAATAAAAAAAACGGTTTGTTCTCATTACAAATTTTTTCATGTTATTACTGCTCCATAGACCATAAAAGTCAGTCAGACCAATCCGGGCTTCGCCCTGATACGAGCAGTCTTGTTTATCATAAAACTTGTTTTATTAATCAAGAGAATGCATTTCGTGGTGAAAAGTTTATTCAACTGAAACGATATACATTGGAGAAGACATAAAACATTTACTTTTTAAAAAAAAATACCGTTAATTTGATTTTTATAATGATAAATTCAGTTCGGCAATTTGGATACAAAAAGCTTTGCTGGATAGAGTTTCATTCAATTGTGCTTAAATTTTTCTACATTTGATTATAATTTGTTTAGCAAAGGAGAGATTATACTCAATTTCTATAAGATTAACAAATGCAAAAATAACATGTCTTTTTTTTCGTGGAAAAAGCAACCTACCATACGCTATGTAAAGTAAATAGTGATATCATTTGCATATAGCAAAGTATCGAACAAACGAAAAAGCTGACCTCAAGTCAATCTGAAACGATTTCGAAGACGGATTGAAACTCCGCCTCGCGACATTGGTTCGAAAGATTTCATGCCTGAGCCATCCTAAATACGCCAAATTGGCAATCCTTAAACGATTGGCACAGATTTTGCCATACTATAGATTTCGTCCTATTTATTTAATTAACAGATTTCGTCCCACACAGATTTCGTCCCACACAGATTTCGTCCCATCAAAAACATTTCGTCCTATTTTTGGAAAATTACTGTAATTGCGGATTAAGTAGTTCTCATAATTGTCAATCGCGACTGCTTTGATTTGAAGCATTGATTTATCTTTGTTTATATATAATGTGAAACGAAATTTTTTTATTACTTGCTTTTGAAAGCTCACACTTTACAAAAAGTAGGACGAAATATGTTTACTCCCAAATTTGTGGGGCGAAATCTGTGTATGCCTTTAAATGGGACGAAATTTGTTGAAATTAAAATGGGACGAGATCTGTCATGGGACGAAATCTGTCACAGCCCCGTAAAACCCCATAGTTTTGCAAAAACTGATTGTTACAAAAAATTTCAAATACATTTTTTTAATATTGAGCTCAGAACAACTATACTTTTCGGATCCTTGAAAAAATTCGGCCAGAAATGGCTAGTTGAAAAGTCGAAACTGGTCCGGAGAAAAAAAACCACACGAGCGCAAGCAATCCGTCACTCTCTTCGAAAGTAGCAACAATTATAGTTTAGGAGCAAATTTTAAAGTATTTTATGAAAATTCAGGCAGTTCAATGAAAAAATCATTTTCTTTGGCCACCTGACTTGGTGTTTTCTCTGAATTAGGCAAACACTGCATTTTCGATCTGAAAATTAATCCGTTACCAATTTTCCATCCGCACAAAAATAGTGACAAAAACTTGCAAAATTTCCTGGCAAGTTAACATTGGGCCAGCTATTAACAGCTGAGCAAATTCCAAGAAATTTAACTTATGCTATTTTGGCTGTTCTGAAATCAATATAGAGTAATATTGGCCTGTTAAAGATTTGATTTTGTATCTGGGTGTGACCATGCCACTAAGATAGTGATGTTTTTAAAACTGGAACTACTTACGCATCACACATGTCTTGCTCATAACATTTCTCAGAACAGCAGGTCAGGTTTCCCTTTTGATTTTCATCTAAAAGATCTTCGATGCAGTCAGTTTCCTGGCCACGACAAATTTCTAATGCGGCATCAATCGAGCTGGACACCTCAAGAAGCTTATTTTTTTGAAGCTTATTTCATCAATAATTACTCAAACAGTTTTGGAAATGTTTTCGAAAAATTTTTGGGCATACAAACGTAGTAGTAAAACATATATTCTTAATATATGTGTAATTTATGCATATTGTATGAACATATGCTGTTGTCAGTAGCGTACGAAGGGGCATTCGTTTGCGGCCATCCCTTCCTCAATTCTGGTTGCCAAGTATTTCCACCTTGCTTATATTTTACGACGTCCATTTTGGTCAACGAACCAAATAGATTTTCTGAAAACACCTTAGACCTCAATTTAAACTAAATTTGCGGAGGTAGCGCTTGCCTAAAAAACTTGATTGACCTAAACTTTTTTGGCGTCATATGGTCAAATTTTCGCAAAAGAGGACAAATCTGCCTCTCTTTCATTTTGATCAATTGCTACTGAAAATTGGTACATTTTTCTCAATCATAGAATAACGAAATGATCAGTAATTTTTACAAAGCTAGTTTGAACTACATCCCAACCACGAACTAAAACTAGCGAAAATTGGGCAAAAAAGAGAAAAAAAAACGATTAAATAAACGGTTCCAGCATCCAGTTCCAAGCGTTAATAATTGATTACATTATATTAAAATTGGTAAAAATCTACTTTAATCAATTAAAACTTTGGTTTATCTGAAATATGTTGAAAGCAGTTTATTACTACAGTTTACAAATTTAGCAGTTTTCAAACTACTTCAAAAATTAGGGTTTTTGTTCCGACTTTCGCAACGAAAGTAACGGAATAATTAGGCTGGGGCGGGTTTTTTTCTTCAGACAAATTTCAAATTTTTAACTAGCCATTTTTGACGGACTTTTCTTAATATCATTTGAAAGGTATTGTTGTCCTGAGCTTAAATTTGAAAAGAGATTTCACCTGTGATCATTTTTTGTAAAGTTGTGGGGGTTTGAAGATTGCCATTTTGGCCAATTTGGGACAATTAAAACGCGATATTTTTCGCGCTATCAACGCGTAAGCGGAGGTTTAATCCATATTAGAAATAGTTCCAAATTGGTTGATGGAAGCTTAGTTGCTAGAATTTATGAGTTGCTAAGAGCGAAATTTAACATTTTGTTCTTTATATGGCGTGAGGGGGGATGATTTTCACAAAAAACCTAATTTTTTTTTTAATTTTCTTTTTATTTTTATTGCGTTTAAATTTTTCATGCTATTCTTGCTTCATATACTTTAAAAAGCAGTCGAAACATTCATGGTTTTGCCCTGATACGAGCAGTTCTGTTTCATTTTGCGCATTTTTAGTTTTTTTTTACCACCAAAATATCAGCACCTTTTTTTAGTTTAATGACTTGTTCGAAAGAGGTGTTTTCACCTCTTGCGGAAACTTTTGAAATAATTTGAAGGTATTTCCATAAAATTTTTGTTTCGTGGTATAACTTTGTTGTTTTCAGATGAACCAAAGTGTGACAGGACATGTCATTTATAAAGTTTTATCAACAGAAAAACAAAAACGCATAGAATAAAAATAAAATATACTTTTGGTGTGACATAAAAGATAACAAGACTGCTCGTATCAGGGCAAAACGCTGAATGTTTTGACTGCCTTTTAAGGTTTATGGAGCAGTAACAACATAAAAAAATTTAAATATGTTAGAATATTATAAAAAATTGTTTTTTTTTCTAAAACTTGACATTTTTTAAATGAAAATCATCACCCCACACGCCATATAAAGTACAAAAGGATACATTTCGCTCCTTTTAACATATCAATTATGGCAAAGAAGCTTCTTTGACCCAATTTGGAACGATTTCTAAGACGGATTAACTCTCCGCTTTACGCTTTAATAGCGCGAAATATATCGCGCGTTAATTGTCCAAAATTGGCCAAAATGGCAATCCTTAAACCCCCATAACTTTACAAAAAAAATCACAGGTAAAACATCTTTTCAAATTTAAGCTCAAGACAACATTACCTTTTGAATGATAAAAAAATTCCGTCAAAAATTTAAAAAGTTTAAAAGTCGAAGTTTGTCTGAAAAAAAAACCACCCCGAGCACAAATGTTCCGTTACTTTCGTATCGAAAGTCGGAACAATAGTCTATTAGAAAAAATTATATTCTATTATAATCGGTTTAACGAGTAAAGAGTTTTCAATATTATTGTTAATGGATTATAAAAAACTGTGATCTCCTTGAAAAAACAATTATGAAAAATCGATTATGCATCCTTTAAACACCTATTTTTGAAATTTTAATCAATTACATTTGTCAAAAAATTAACATAACTGTTATAATCAATTACTGAAGCCACATTTTAGATGCGAGTTGTCATTGCTCTTCCAAAACGTTCAAAATTCCAATTTTCCATGAAAAAGGCGGAAAAGGCGCAACACTAGCGGAATTTTTCAAAAAGTAACAAAAACGCTACTTTTGCCTTAAATGATTTTGGTCTTATATGATTTTGTTTAATTGTTCCGACTTTCGATACGAAAGTAACGGAATATTTGTGCTCGGGGTGGGTTTTTTTTTCTTCAGACAAATTTCGACTTTTTAACTAGCCATTTTTGACGGAATTTTTTTTGCATCATTCGAAAAGTATTGTTGTCCTGAGCTCAAATTTGAAAAGATATTTCACCTGTGATCATTTTTCGTAAAGTTACGGGGGTTTAAAGATTGCCATTTTGGTCAATTTGGGACAATTAACGCGCGATATATTTCGCGCTATTAACGCGTAAGCGGAGATTTAATCCGTCTTAGAAATCGTTCCAAATTGGTTAAAAGAAGCTTATTTGGCATAATTGGTTTGTTACAAGGAGCGAAATCTATCCTTTTGTACTTTGTATGGGGGGGATGATTTTCTTTTTGATTTTTGTTTTGTTTCATTGAATTTTTAAATGTTATTACTGCTCCATAAACCTTAAAAGGCAGTCGGAACATTCAGGGCTTCCCCCTGATACGAGCAGTCTTGTTTCTTTTTGGTGTCAAATTTCGCTCTTAATAAACTTAGGCCCGCCACAATCGCTCTCCACAAATTCAAAAAATTACCCATAGCGAAAATAAACAGCCTTCCTGCCTGTAAAATAACTTTAATTCCCATTGAACAATTTTTTTACTACTAAAGGGTTCTCGAGTCTAGCTTCGACTGATGCCTGTTATGTTTGCTGGGACATCTCGCCAGCAGTCAGAATCAGAGGAGCAAATATCGCCCGAATCAGCCTGTTTCACCATCTGGATATTCGCCAAAAGAACGACGAGGCCAGTCATCATCCATAAAGCTGATGGAAATAGTCTATATTCTGAAATTATATTCGAATCATGCCTAGCATATATTTTAGTGCATTTAAAATCATAAGAAACATCATTATAAATCAGATTTTGCGCAACTATGAATCCTGGAAAATATCATCACAAGTCCGATTTTTTTCAAAATTTAAAAAATGAATATAGCCAGTAGAAATCAAATTTTGGCCAGAAAGACTCAAATAAAGATCAGAAATTGATTATTTTAATTAACTTTAAGTAAAATTCATAAAATAATCACTATAATTTCACTATTTTGTGCAATCGCGGATTTAGAATTTTTAGGATTTTCTCAAAAAGGGTTGATTCTCAAAAAAAAGACAAAAATTTTTGACCAAAATGATTTTCAGAGCTCTCCCAAATCCTCACAGAGACCTTATTTCGAACCTCCTCAAATTTAGTATAAAAAAACGCGCCTTTAGAAAAATTGCAAAGTCAGTCAGCCAAAAATGAATATCTCCAATAGTACAAAGGGGGACCATTTGGGTCGGCAGGCGGTCGAATCCCCGAGAAGGGAAAGCGACGTCCGCCCACCCCACTAAACCTGCTACTGATTTTGTGACCATCCACAATCCTATGCCCGGGCCGAGCGCTCATGGATTCCAATTAATTATAATGGATTCTCGAGACCATTATTATGGATTCCCGGAAACAAAACTTTCAATAAAATACATTGAAATTGTAAAATTCAGATCACAAAATCGATAATATTGAAATTATAGTCAATTTTTTGAAGAAAAAAAATCCATTATAATCGATTATAATCCACTATTTTAGGCACTGATATCGAATTTTTTTTGGCCAAAATAATCCATAATACTCGAAAGTTTTTGAAATAAAAATCCATTATGATCCATTAAAACCGATTATAGTCCATACGATTTTTGGAAATTTAAGCCATGTCTTTTTTCTAAATATCATGTCTCAACGTCACCCCCTCGAGTTTTTTTTGCCTCCCCGATGAAAGAGGGGTGTAAACTGGTGGGGCGAGTGGTAAAGGGGGGGGGGAGTAAAATGAGGTGGTAATTTTGGCGGGGATGGGGGTTCAACCACCATTCAACTCCCCAAGTTCTACCATTAAGTAATTCCCCCCCTACCACCGTTCAAATCTTACACCCATCTCTTTTCCCCTGCGAAATGAAGTGTTAAACTGAGTTGAATTGAAAAAGTAAAGACAAACGTAATACGTAGCAACTGCACAAACAGGAAATGAGATAACCCGAAAAAAAATCCATTTGAAAAATCTATTTATATAACTCTCGAAAAAGTCCATTATAATCGATTGTAATCGATTATGATTGATTATTGTGGCAAAAAAATATTATTTTATAATACTTTTATAATGGCTTATACGCGGATTGACGAAAGAAGAAAACTGAAGAAAAATGCTTATCATACAAAATTCATACAAAATTTAAAAAATGTTTATAAATTTTTAATGAACATTTTTGTTCTATTTGCCTCTTTTGAAGCTTTCTGGTCATTAAAAAATAATGAACAAATTTTCGATAAAAAATTGCATAACATACAATTTTTATATATGAAAGTTATAAGATAATCATTTTGTCATAGAAAAAGTTTCCAAAAATTACCAAAAAATGGGTCTGGGTAATTTGAAATAGGTTGAAATAATTCTATCTAAGATAGAGGGCATTTTCACAGTCAAAAACAGAATTTTATTTTCGGTCGGAAAAATGCTTATCATGTAGTTTTCATATAGGAAAATTGTATGATATGCGTTTTTCATAAGCGAAAACACAAATTTGAGGTAAGAAATTTTAATCCTTTTTTTGCTTGCAAACTTGTTTTTGCGCTCAAATATAACTTTTATGGAAGAAAAATTTATGGAAAAAATGCTTATCATACAATTTCATAATTTAGAAAAAATTTAAAAAATGCTTATCATACAGTTTCATAGTATAGATAAAATGCTTATTTTGCTATTTTCATACACTTACTTTCGCTCTATGAAACTCTTTGAAAGAGTATGATAAGCATTTTTTTCATATATGAAAATTCTATGGTAAAACATTTTTTATCAACCCGGGTAATCGATTATAAAGGATTGTATTGACATAAAAATTTTAGGATTATAATCCAATTTTAATGGATTATAATCGATTATTTTGTAATTTTGTAGATACTGGTCATATTATTTCAATATAATCGTTTATCATCCATAGGCGCTCGGTGCGGGTAGTTCATTAATCATGAAGTTAAAATTGATTATAATACATGCAGATCCATTATGCAGTTTTTGGGGTATTTGTACAGATCCTATAGAGATTTTATACAGCAAAAAATCAATTTTTAGACAAAGAGTCAAATTATTTAGAAAAAATAATAGTTTTTTCTGACCTTTATGATATCCGTCCTTATCAAATTATACATTTTAGTGTCTAATTGGGTTACATACACTCGATTTTTACAAGTCAAAAATCTGTATAAAAACCGATTATTTTCGACTGCCCTATCAGTTTTGCCGAATACGGGTTTGCCCAGAATTGAGTTCAGGGCCGAATTCAAATTATCCATTCTAGCCCTCAAAGTCAAGATTTATTTTTACATAAAAAACTAAGTTAATCCAATCGTCAAATTTATATTGTATTAAAAAACAAAAACTACTCACCTAAGCACACACAGGGCATTTTAGCTTATCAAAATGATAAGTTTAGTTCAAGCAAGAAAACAGCAAGAAAACGGACCAAATGTGAAGTATTTCCTGCTTAAAATCAAAAACAACTTCAATAATTTAAGTCCATTCAGCAATCCATCACACTAATTCATTTTTCCGTAACCAGGGATACCATGTTAACAAAAAATCATTCAAGTATAAATTGTTTTGTGTAAAATTGAATGCTTTATCTTATTAAAGTTAGACTAGAAAAATGGTTGAAATTGGAAATGTTTCTTTATCACTTCCCTTACAACAAAAAGACGTCAAAACAATTTAAAAACTCCTTTCGGAGACTGAAAATAAAAAATTGACTTTTTTCCCAATAATCACCATAGTAATCAGCGAAAAAACTATACAAGTCAATAGAGAAACTTGAAGATTGAAAACTAAAAAAAAACCGAAAAAAAAAACTGAAAATGGTGCAGCACCTACAGGAGCGGATCCAGGATTTTCTCAAGGGGGGCGGATTTTCAAAAAAAAAATTGAAATGTCGGTCAGCTTTTAAAAATTTTGTAGGTCGACCATATTGGTTTTCCTTACTCTCCTAAAGCACTAAAAATAACCTCTTCCCTAGTCGATCAAGGGAAGTTATCTTGCAAGATTTTGCAAGATTCATGCAAAAGAGGGTTATCTTACAAGATCTTGCAAGATGGAGGTTATCTAGTAAGATCTTGGAAGAATGATGCTATGCCAACGCAAAAGTTATGTCTAAAAACAAAAAAATAACATAAGCTAGGTGTACGATCAAAACAAATTGATTATAGAGCGAGAACGCAAAACGTTTTCGATTTGATCTGAGAAAAAGTTATATATTTTTTTCAAATATTTTTTTGAATCGTTAAAAATTGTGTAGAGTGTGGTCTCGATGAATCACATGTTTTCCGGTTAGCAGTGATTCAAACTTTCCCAATTTGAAAAAAAAACTTAAAACAATTTTGATATTTGTTTTCTTTTTCCAATCGAAACAAAAAATTAATCATTTTCTTTTTAAATTTTTCTGATCCTAAATTTTTGTCAATTTAATAGTATTTTAATTGAAAATATATATTTTATTTTCCTAAGACATTATGAGACCAAACTGTGTATTTTGTGAATTGTAAGCGGATTCCGCAACAAGGACGCTCCCTTTGTTCTTCTTTTGTTCTTTCATTCTCTTTGATCGTTTCGACAAAATTTTAATATGTTTTGAAGACTTGTCTTTGGAATCCTGGAACATACAGACACAAAACTGTGCGCCTAACTACTACACAGTTTAGTCTCGTGAGGGAACAAAAATGCAATTCATGGGGGTTGATTCTTCTGGCGAGGGGTGGCGGCGGTAGTAAAGGACAAAGGGATCATTGTTAAGGGTAAAAAGGTGTCAAAAGGGCAAATGCTGAGAGGGAGAGATTGGAATTGCTTAGAGTTTGAAAAATTTTGAATTCAGAAATTGAGTAGGCTGTGCTCTTGTTCTGCAAAATTTCTGTAATAATCATTTATTAAAAGCAAAGCAAAAATAAAGTGTAGATATCTTTTCTCATTGATTTTTAATTGAATCATAAAAAGTTTGAAATTTGATTAAACAGTGGGTTATAGTCAATCTAATCCAAATTCAGTTGTTGGGTTTCGAGGCTCCGTTTTCTTTAAGGAAAAGCAATTTCCTTGTTTTTTGCGGTAATAAAATTTTTTTGTTGAATCACAAGTGTACATTGTCTAATCCACACTCAAAAATTTGATTTTTTTGTGAGTTTTATGCTTTAGAAAAACTTACAAAGAAGTTCTAAGATTCCTTTATATTCAGATAGTTGATTAAAAAAACCATCAATAAAAAGTTTTGCGAATCAATGAAAAATACTGATGCTGAATTTTTCACTCATTCGAAGTAAATGGATTGGCACTTCGGCAACAGCTCATCAATGTTTCCAAAACCATAAGAAAGTTCCCGTTCTTTACATAGTGTAAGTTTTGGAGTCAAATCATTCATGAGTCGTCGGAATTACTGACACATTTGTCCATTTATCCACCAAGATTTCTTAAATCGTGTATTGAAAAAATAAACAATATTTTTCTCTATTTTTTGAGAGAAAAATATGTTGAAGCTATTGACAAAATAATTTTTTCTATTTTCTTTTTTAAATTTTTTCCCCAGAAATTATTGACCAAAGGCACACTCAAAACATATTAAAACTGATATTTGTTTGAAGAATCTGATAGAGTCTCATGCATCCCAGTTATTCTCAATTAGAAAAAAAAATTCTTTAAACCCGTTTTCAAAAAATAATTCAATTGTTTTTTTGAACTTTTCGAATTTTTTTTTCGAAAATACCTTTTTTTCCACATATTGACTGCGCCACACTAAAAACTTGCTGTGTTTGTTTATTTTACGAGCAACTTTCAGCTTTTCATGGATTCTTGTTCGCCGGTCTACCAAATGTTTTGAAAACGAGTTGTGAATAAAAATTAACTTTCTCTTTTTTTTTGAAAATTGTTCAGAAAAAATTTTTGACTAATTCCATTCTCAAAACTAAGTTAAACTGTTTATGGCTTAAAATAATTCAGACCATTTTTTGTTTTCTTATTTTTCGCATTCCACCAAAGTTACTGTGAATGATTAAAAAACGAGAAGATTACCATACATTTTCTTTTGTCTCTGAAAAGTACTTTAAAATGTTTTCATGTTTTTCATGTTTAGAACGAGACAATTGTAGTCATCAGCACCCATTAACATCGAGGAGCCTACCTCATCAATCATCAAGATGATTTTTGCGGCTCATTGTTGGCTCTTGATTGGGGACTTAGGTGTTTTTGATTTTTGAGTTTTTCAAAACTTGAGTTTCTACAAAAAAGTCAGTTCTCTTAAAAGCATTCTAAAGATATCAAAACGAGAGCCGTCACTATCATCTTCACTTCGATCACTGAAGAAGTTGGAAGCTCACACTTTGAATTTTTATGTTTACTTGCGTTCATTACTCTTTTGCAATCTTCGATAGACTATGTTCTAGGAATGTGAAGCTGTCATCACAAACTACTTCTTCTCTACTGTGTCTAATAAGAACTTTATGGAGAATGCATGTATTTTTAAATCGAGATATTCTGTCATGTCCATCAGCTGGTATCGATTGACGTAAATATGTGAAAAAAACTGAGTTAAAAAAACTAGGTTTCATCTTGTGCTTTTAATCTTGTGATTTATTTCTTTAAGTTTGTGTTCTCATTCTATTTAAATTGTGTTTTTTTTGATTTTGGAGAGATTTTGTTATAAGTTGTCAATCAAAACTTGAAGATTACAAAGAAAGTTAAAAAAATGAAGTTTTCTTGCGGGCTGTGTGTATGTATGCGTAGCTAAGATTGCTTCCTTCTTCCACTAGCGCTACTTGGTTGTGTCCGCGTGTAAAGCTGCTTTTGCCCAAAAAATAATATCATGTAAGATCTCGCAAAAAAGGTCATTTTAAAAGGAGATTATCTTGCAAGATCTTGCAACACTCTTGCATCCTCTTCAAAAGAATCTTGCAAGATTCTTGCAAGATTTCGCAAGATAACCTTCCTTGATCAATTTTACCATATTTTCAGCGGTGCAGGCAAGTTTTTGAAAAAAAAACAGGCCGAAAAAAAGGCGTTTTTGGGCACTTTTTGGAAATTTTCACTTGAGAACGGCGGTTTTTCGGCGGGCTCTCCTCCTTTAAAACTTGAACAAATTGGCACATAAGGCCGCTTTAAAAAATGTTTGGAGTCATACAGCCAACAATTGATATCTCAAAGCGGTACAAAGGGGGAACCTTTTGATTCGGCAGAGGAACGAATCCATGAAAGAAAATCGTACCTCCTCCCCCTTAAGTCTATTACCTCATGGCGTTTAACCAAGCTTCGGGTTCATGTATTTTTAATGATTTTTTGAAGCAAGCGCCATTATCAGGTGTCCGGTTAATAAGACGACCGCTTTTATGACGACAACCGCACTTGTTGGGCCTATAAAATGACCCTACACGGAATTCTCCACTTTGTATTTCTAAAAAATTTAAACCGATTAAATTCGAACTGCTCACTCACTTTACATGCAAAAACGTTTTATTTGTCAGCTTAATGTTTTGTCGTCTTTTTTTTTCCTTGCAACAATCATCTAACATAAACCATTATCAAAATTCGAATTGGGTGGAATCAAAAACTAAGACCAACAATTGGGCGGAATCCCTAAATAGCAAAGGACCGAATTGGCGAAAATCAAAATCAGTCAATCAGATTTCAGTTTTCAAAATCTGGAAAGAAAGCGAAAAAGTCTCGAAAAAATTAAAAACTTCGGAGGACTCAATTTTAATTTTTACCGAATATAAAAACGGCAAAAATGTGGAAAAAATTCAAAAGGACCTTGATTGTCGGCGAGTTGTCCAAAATTAATATTTCAAAGGCTTCGTTATAAAAAGAAAATATCTGAACATCGGATATATTACAGATGTGTCGATTCTGATTGCAAAACCAAATTAATTACCAACATTTCCAAATATAATATTTTTTTTTGCGAATATCATTCTCACGAACCCGATCATCAATTTCTGGCCAAAAAATCGTGAATTACTTTTTGAAATACTTCGAAAACACCCAACAGAAAACTTGAAAAATGTTTATGGAAAAACTATTGCAATTTTGCCCAACCCCGAATATCAGATATTGAAAAATGGTTTATCTCGCGAGAGAAAAATGTCTGCCTCCAGAACCACAAAAAATTTTGGACGTTACAGTTGATGGACCATGGGTTTTATCTCAGCGATTAAAATCATTTTAGCTGGATCTTAACACCAACGTGGGTGTAGAATTTTTTGCAACAAAAAGCTGTAGAAAAATTGCTGAAAACGAATACAGTTATTGGCGATGGATTTTTTAAGGTTGCACCACGACCATATAACCAAATTTGTACATCTTTTGCGGTTTTGGAGAACTAAAACTTCCTGTTTGTTGGTGTTTCTCTAAGGAAAACAGCAAATCCAGTACGAGTTCATTTTACTCAACAACAAGAAATTTTTTGAAAATTTTGATATTTTTCAAATCCTGATGCAATAATTTCGGACTTCGAGATAGGATTTATTGCCAAATTAATTTCTATACAGATGC